TCTTTCACCCAAGTACGTTTCCAACGATTCGACTATAGGCGAAAATAGAGGGGGATAGGGGGCTTAGCCACTCCTCTCCCAAAATCTTATGGTTTTACAATATACTACATTGGAAAGAAATATCATTTTTCGCGCATCACGAATGATTCGATTAAAGTGCATCGAGAACCACGTGATCAAGTTAACAATGTGTAAATTGGTGGGAAATGTCTGGTAAGAATTAATAGGTACTAAGTAAGATATCAGCTCCTTCAAATTTCAAATTCAAACACTGTTGCGCCTTTGGATTTAACAACTTTTTTTTTTGTATGTAACTTCAACTTAGGTCATAGGTATATCTAGCGAGATTTAGACACCGTATGAATATTAATCCCCACAGTCTCAGTTATTTGTTGTTTATTTCGTTCCGCTAAAGGTAAAATTGTTCTTATTTGACAATATAATATCTACTAATACTATCCCTTTTGTAATTATTTATAATAATCGTATTTCACATCAGAGCATACCTAATGAATAATTTAATTTTAAATTTTGAATACAGCGAATTATACTTTTGAGAATCAATAATCAAAAATTTCCAGAATTTTTATTAACGAAAAATAAATTAAATTCGGAAATTTGTACGCAGTATAAGTACTAGTTTTTGACTAAATAGATATTGTTTTTATAGTGCATGTAACAAAAACAAAAAAAAAACCGAAGATACCGAAGATACCTATTTGAAATTTTCACTAATTTTTTTTTTATACTCTCTTATAGCTTTTTTAGACATTGACTATGATGACATTGACAATTTTATGTTGATCTTTTCGTTTGGTAATAAAATAGGAAAATATTATACTCATGAACTGTAATATATAGGTACTATATAACAACAGCATTATGAAGAGCAAAATAACATCGCACAGTTATTGTGTAGGCTGTTTTGGAAGATAGGCGTGCATATTGTCCAATTATTATTGTATAGAGTTTGATTAATGATTATTTTACAATTATAGCCGTTTGTAGTTTGTACATTTTTTTTGTTGACGGCAGCTGTTTGAAAATTTATCTGTTGTAACATTTTTTGATGGGACCTGTTTGGATCCGACGATTTTTTTATCATATTTTATATTCATATCTTTCTAATAATTATTTCTATTTAATTAGTATTACTAAACACAAATTATTAGTTTTTACTGTAAATATATCTGTATAGTGTGTATATTATAAAATTTGTAATGATTTTGTTATTTTAAAAAAAATTTAATTAAAATATAATAATAATATATAATTATTAATTTAAAATTTGTCCAGTTTTATTGCAGTATAGTTACCTGCTATTTGTAACTTCGTAAAATCGTAAGATTTTAATAGAATATATCGACACCATGACGATGTATATATGAATATTGGATAAAATACCGAGGTATGAAGAGGGGTACTGAGGTGTAAAATATAAATAATATAATTATATAATATAAATGATACAAAAATATCAAAAAAAAAATTTTGGTCCCATCCTGACCAATCCGAATATCCGATGCAAAAGTTCTGACGTTGTCATTCTTCCTTACTTATTGTTGCGGAGGACTAAAATCAGCTATTCTAAAATATTGTTCAAAATTTAATTACCGATTGAATTTTATTATTTTGGAACTTAAGTACCTACCAATATTAACACAAGTCAAGAAGTTCTTCATAGAACAAAAAAATCTGCAAAAATCTTTAACTTTTAAGTTATAAGTAGTTCGTTATGTAATATCATAATTTAAAATAGCTGTCAAACTATATAAATTCAAAAATGTACCTTTTTATCAAATCTGATAATTTTTGGAAGCTTAGGGATTTTAATCTTAATCTCAATTCGGACTTGGTACTTCTACATCCATATGACGCTATGACCGAATATAATATCTATAAAATATTATATTTAAATATTGTCATATATTCTATTTTGAAACAAATATTTTATTTTTCAATTAGGACGCATTTGGTTAGGTTAGGTTAGGTTAATCAATTTTTCCAAGAACATTGCATGTAGTTATCATGTTAGAGGTCTTTTGACCAAATTGTCCTATTAACTATTTTCGTAATTGTATAAATGTTATCGATTGTGATTTATTACTCTTGACCGAAACTTGGCTGAATAATAAAGTTAGTGATGCAGAATTAGGGCTCAATAATTTTCAAATTTGCATATGGATAGAGCTAATGAACAAGAATCTAGAGGTGGTGGTGTATTAATTGGTGTATCGTGTATGATCTGGTATAAAATGTAATCGAATTGATGTACCAATTATTTCTGGAATCGAACAAATATTAAAAAAAATAATTTTTAGGTCCATTAAAATTTTGGGTTTTTGTGTTTATATTCCCCCTAATATCAGTAGAGACATCTATTATGAACATTGCGATTTGGTTGGGGATCAACCTGACCATCAAAAATCAAAATACTTATTATCGGTGATTATAATTTAAATGATTTTGATTGTACTTTGGATTACTCTCTAGTAATCCATTCTACTGCAAATGTTGTAATTACAGCAATTCAATTTTATTAATAATAAAAATAGTAGAACTCTTGATCTTATTTTTAGTGATATTGATAAATTAATGGTCTTTAAAGGGTGTTCTTGTGTCCCCTTAGCTGATTAACACCATCCTTCTTTAGACTTAATATGTAATTTTGATCACTCATTTGGGAATGATGCTATTAATCAATTAACTTTTTATAACTTTCTTAAAT